AGAAGCCCTGGGAGATGTGGGTGTGCAGGACATCTTATTGTGGGGCAGAGAGGAGAAAAAACACATCGTTCCCTACACTAAGGAACCATTTACCCCCTGTAAGCATGAAACCACACCTCGGTGCTGGGATTTCTCTGCCATTTTATGTGTTGCTCTCTCAAAATGCACCTGCTGCTAAAAGAAATCATGGAAACACACAGGACTCCAATGTCTTCACCCAAACTGCTCTGGTTTTGCTTTTATCCACTAGGATCTCCCTATGATGCTTTGGGGCTCAGGGAAGGGGGGGGAAAGTATGTGGTTAAAAAAAATCCAAACCTCTTTGATTTTTCACAAAGCATCCTGGCTTTTGATAAGATCTTCATCAAGCATTTATTGAGCCAATTAAGCTCTCAGTGGTGCCCCAGGGAGAGGCCAGGCTGTCTCAGCCAGGCCTTGCTCAGAGCAATTGCTTCATTAGCCCATTTCAGAATGAAAATACATAAAGCTACTAATAACCCTTCAAAAACCAGGGCAAATCAAAACCGACAAGGACACATTAATTTCTCTCCATCCTTTTCTTCTTTGCTCTGTCTGAAATAGGAATTTGTTGTGGTTTTTTAAATCTAGAAAAAAAGTTGGCACATGCAAACTGTTGAAACAGAATCCGAGTTAAAATAATGTTGCAATTGTTATCAAAGCACAGAGTGCTTGCTTCATTCTAGTGGCTGTTTTTGGAAGAATGCTGCTTCTAGAAGAGGGAAAAAAATTTTGTTTGGGACAGAGATTCGAAGCCAGATCCAAAATTTCCAGGTGGTTGGAGACAGCTGAATTGAGGCCCACTTCCAAGTTGATTTGTATTTACTTTACATATACACATGAAGACACACACAGTCCTGAAATCGCTGTTCCTGACATACCACAGGCCTGTGATTCCTGCTACTACTTACAACGCAAATAGCCAGATCCAGAGAGGAAGATTAAAATGCCATGAGGTTGGTTCCCCTATTTACTAGGTCTGGTGCTGATTTTTTGGCTTGGTTTTTAGGGACAAGGACTTTGCTGCCACGAACCTGGGCCTGCCAGCACAGCCCCTCCACGTGCAGTCCTCCCCAACACGCCCAAATCAACTCCCCCTGGTAACAACCAGAAGAATTAGTGGATTTAGTTGCTCCAGTTGCATTCATATTGCAGTTCTGGCTGCTTGTTTCTGCCACCAAAACTCTGAGATGCTGCCCAAGGCTGGAGTGGGAAGCTACTGCTCCACAAAGCCAAAGGAAAGTGGGACAAGCCACAGCTTTAGCATAAACCTTCCTGGCTTCTCCTGGCACCTGCAGAGCATAAGTCAACCCTTGGCTTTAATGCCTTTTAAAGATAATGCAGGGAGGAAAGAGGCAGCCTCCACAGGGAACGTCTGTCCACACAGAACCATATCCCACCCCAGGGCACCACCTCTGCTGGGTGACATGTATAGCCCAGCTTTGGGTTGATCCTCACTCCAGCACCAAGATGAGGCCTGGGGCACCATCTTGGCTGTCAAATGTGGCCCCTGCATGGCTCCAGGGCTGGGCAGAATTCCCTGACATGGGCATTGTGCTCCCAGCACTCCCATCCCACAAGTGCTGCCCGAGCACACAGGCTGACTCAGGGACATCGAAGAGGGTCAGACACTGGCAGCACTTTGGAGTCAAGAGGATCAAGGCAGCTGCCAAGGGTCTTTGTGCCAGTTCTTTTGGCACAGAGATCAAGGAGGAAGAAGAGAAAATCAGATAAAAAGCACGTAGCAGGCAGCTCCCTGAAGCTACAGAGCTCACTGACTTAACAGCGGTAGCTGCGCAAGTGTCTGTGACACCTGAGCTGACAGTGACAGGCCAGAAGAGCCCCAAAGCCAAGGTGACAGCAAGAACTTGCAAGAATGCTCTCAAAAGCCTTATGGTCACCTGCAGTCAGTCTCAAAGCATCCCTGGCTGTCCACCTACAGCTCACAAGGACTGAAACTTCACCTCCCCAAACCCGCCCGCTTGAGGGATGAGGGGACAGGGGACAAAGCCTGGAGCAACAGTGGAATCACCCAAAGCAAAGAACAGAGCCAAGCAGTGGTGAGTTCCTGGGTAAGGCAGAGATGATTTGCATTTATTTTAAGTCACGTCAGTGGAACATGACACTATCAAAGCTGTCTGAGTAGTTCTACATGCTCCTTTCAGAAACAGGCACTTCCGAGCCCAGCATGGCCTCTGTGCCCCAGCCCCGCTCAGGTTTCAGGGGACAGACATCCAGGGTGAGCCAAGACACTTTACCTCACTCAGTGGTTTGCACTCTATGGCTTTCTGTTGTGCTGCACAGGAAAGAGCTAGGAAAAGCTTACAGACCTGTATCTGCACCTCAAAGACTCCCAGATCCATCCTTGGGATGCTGGCAGTCTGCTGCGGCTCCTGTCTGGAAAGTGGAGCAGAAGGAGCAGGGGAGCAGCAAGCTGGTGACTGTCCCTTGGCTCCACTGCTGTCCCGAGCTCCTTGTGGCACTGGCAGATCCCTGACCCAGTGGGGCCAGATGAGGACAGGGTGTGGGGTCACAGCCACAGCATGGTTTGCGTGCTCGTCATGTATTTTTAACACCTCTTTGACTCACAAGGCTCTAAAAACCACCCGGATTCTCCAAATGCTTTTGAGTTCTTCCACCAAACACCCCCAGAGCCCAGAATACCCCCATGTAGTCCACTTTGCAAACAGGTTCCTGTTGCAGCTTTCCAAGGGAAGAGAGGAGATGTGCCTTTCCAGCCTGTGGGAGGGGAGCAAGAGCTGGACAGGGGAAGGGAGCGGAGCTGGAAAGGGGCGGTAGGTTTGTTTACAGGCACAGATCCAGCACACAGAGAGAGGCTGTTGGAAGCAGTCCTTGGCCCCAGGGTCATTCCCACCCCTCAGCCCATCCGCCTCCCCTCCACCCGCCTCTCCTTTCGGCTCCTAAAAACGATCCCTCCCTGTTACATAACGGGATAAGCGGATTGGGCCTCGCACACACGGCCTCCCTTTACTTAACAATACCTTTTTCGGTCATGGAGCCTTCCTCTCCCCCTGCCATCCACCTGACACTCAGGGGAGATGGATAGTGCCTGGCTCCAGCTATTCCAGCTACGGAAGGAGGGGAAAGAGGAGTCTGGTGGGATGCTCCATGCAGAGAACGGTGAACAGAGCAGGTAGGGAGATCCCAGAATGGACACCGTGGTCACAGCAATCACTTGATGTCACTGTGAAAAAGACCCCAAGGGAGAGGGGGATTGGCTCTTGGGAGAAACTGGTTCTTGTTCTTGGTATGCTTTTTGTTGGTTTGCAGGTATTTCTATCACTCTGCACTGAATGTGCCTCATGCCAGAGCAGAATCATCTTGCAGCTGCAAGGAGGCAGCAGGAGCAGCACCTACTCACCAAATACAAACTGGCAGAGGAGCACCTAGCAGCAATCCCCTTCCTAACACTCAAAACACTTCCAGGGCACCTCCTTTCTGCCCCATACCACCTCACTCACTGACAGGAACAGGGAAGGACCATCTCTTGAAGGGATGATGCCCACATCTACTTTTTCCCCTGCAGCAATCCATGAGCAACACCATCCTCCTGGCAACAGGTCAGTTCCCACTGTGCAAGTCCCCTCCCTGTCTCCTTCACATCAGACCTGTGGACTGTTGACTGTCCCAGAACAAGAGCAGAGTCAACCTCAACATGTGGATTTCAGCATGGACATAGGGTTTGTTCAAGGGGTTGTATTTGCACCCTGTCCTGATGGTGACACGGAGAAGCCACCATATCACCTCCAGGCAAAGCTCTGCCTGCAGTGGGTTTACCCACACCTGCTGAAGCAGAGCAGCTACAAACACACTCCCTTCACTCTGCTCCACCAGCACAACTCGCAGAGCTCCTGCACCTTTCAGAGCCAGGCATGTGTTGTGTGTATCCCAGCTTTCTAGTGGAAAATACCAATGCCACACGTGGGTGCTGCAGGTTCCCTGGGTGAGCAGGACACAGTTTAACAGGAGGTGATGACGTGCCTGTTCAAGCTCTCATACCTCTCTGCTTACACACAGGGATTGGGTTCCAGTTCATTTCCCAAGAGACCAGATTCCATTTTGGAAAAATGGCAGCAACACCCACCTCCTGCCGCCCAAGGGAACAGACCCAGGAGTGAAAGCAGCAGTGCCTGACCTCAAAGCACTTTGGCAACCTCTACTAAGTGCAGTTTAAGTTACCAGCTCAGTTATAATGTGCTGCCCTGCACTTTCTGATGCCAACTCTGGATGCCTGCAAGAGCGGGAAAAGCTCTGCTCCAAGATTCTCCCAAGCCCAAGTCCTTCAGGGCTCTAAAGAACCATATCCTCAGTTAGTGATAGCCACCAACCTACACCAGAAAACAGGAATGCTCTGTTTGTGTGTCTTGGCCTAGAGCCTTACCACCCAGAGGCACTGGCCCAGGACAGCTTGGCAAGTCCATCCTAGTTGGAAAGGAAGCCTGTTCTCACTCCATGTGCATGTCCCTGTCCCAGGCACAGGCACTGCTGGCCCAGGGAAGAGCAGGGAGTGCAGCAGTGAGAGCAGAGGCCCTGGCAGGCCACACTCTGAGCTGTTTTTGACAAGTTGCTGTTCCCTCGGCCTGTTTACTCTCCTTTTGTAGATAGAACAAGCTGAGCCACTGAGCAGTGAGACCACGAGGCCGGTTCTCTCCGGAGAGCCAAGGAGCTGGGCACTGTTGCCTTTTCATGAGGCAAGACTCCCATTCCCAGGGCTGGATCCTTCCTTTCCCTGTTATTAAGGGATAGCAAGCTGCCTGCTACAGTTGCATCCTTGCTCACAGGGAAAACAGCTCCTAGTGCAAATCTCCAAGAGGTTTCTTTTACACAGCATCTTCTTTATAGAACCTTGTTTGATGCTCAGAAAACATTTACCCACACTCAGGCATGAGCTCCATTTAAGACTGTGACTCCAAAGGGAATTTACCCTCCCAGAGCTGCCAGGTTGCTCATTCAGGCCTTACCTTTGAACAAGGGTCCCAAAGAGCAGGTTGAAGACCTTCTGAATGTTCTCTGTACACAGCCAGCTCCAGTGATCCACTAGCACCAGGCGAAGCACATCCAGGGCCAGATCAGCTAAAGCTGTCTCAGAGTCTGCCAGGAGGAAGAGGAGGGTCAGATGAAGAAACCAACTCAGTGCCTGAGCAAACCTGGTGAAAAGCATCATCCCAAACTCACTCTTTCCTCCAAGTCTGGCATTTTGTGCCACACACAGATGACCCGCTGCAGCTCAGTCAGTCTGGGGAGCCTGCCCTTACCACTCTTTCACTTCTACTTCCATACAAGTAGCCTTAATCGCCCCACAAAGGGCCACACCAAACCAGAATGTAGTTGCTCCGAGGGCTCAGTTCCTTCTCAGTTGAAGAGAGGATGACAATGTGCCCAAAACAGGTGAGAATGAAAGTAGTCACTGTAGCTAGAGAAAGGTACACTGCTGAAGACTATTTTCCTGGTCTTCCCCATCACTTTCCCCTCTTCCAAGAGTTTTCCAGGCACAAGGCTCCAGTGGGTGGCTGCTTTCTCATCTGTTTTTGGCACACTGCCATCCCTATATGTGGACTGATATTTGATAAACCCTCTGTTTCACTGAGAAGGAACTGAGCCCAAAAAGGGGAGAAAGCAGGCAGTGACTGCAGTCAGCAAAAGCTACACTGCTGAGGACTATTTTCCTGGTCTTCAGGAAAATTTTCCACTCTTCCGAGAGTTTCCCAGGCACAAGGCTCCAGATGGTGGCTGCAGGCTGCCATCGTGTGGCCGATCCCAATCTCTGCAGGAAGGGGGATAAACCACATCTGGATAAACCAGATGTATGTTAAAACACAAACCCATACACGTCCTCACATATCCCTGCTGACATAAGCCTGGGACAGCACAACCTCTCTCTGATCCTCAGGAGCACATCAAAAGCTTCAGTGTAAACACCTTCTACTTGCTGGAGAATTACTTTTGGCCCCAAAGCAGTTGAGGTGTTGTCCTGAACAGGCTCATTAATGTGCCACAAACCTGCCTGGGGCAGCCACTCCTAGGCCAGTGCCCCGACCTGAGCCTAATGTCAGGTTGGCCAGGTGAGATCAGGTGCAGCAGCTTTTCCTAATTTGGATTCCCTGATGCCTCATCTTCCAACCACTCCGCCTACAGAGAATTTACACACACAACCTACTGCTGAAAATAAAGGGAAGAGGGATTCTGGACCTTCTCCTTCCCTCCTCTTTCTCTCCCCACTGCGTATGTGCAGGACTAATTAACTCCAGGCCACTTCACTTGGAAAAGACAGGGCACTTGGCCCTCTTGCTCTGGGCCACGTCTAAGCTATTCCTCACTTGCTTTGCCCTCTGAGATTTGACTTCCCAGTGCAGAGCCAGAAGCAGGCTGTCCAGTTTCCCCATAACCTCAGAGGGACCATCCTCAGCAAGCTCCGTTTATTCCTGGAGCATTCAAGTCCTCTTCCTCAGAGAGATGCTGGCCAACCTCTTCCCAGAAGTCACTCCATGAGCAGACAGGGACACAGGCTGCGTTTTTATCCAGCTGCTCCAGACGTTTGTTCCCCTCACCCTGCCAGCCCAGCCTGAAACATCCCAGACCTGCAGGCATTTGCCATCAATGACGTTCCATCTCCCTCAGAGTTCAGGGAACTTGGTGCACAGCCCTGGCCTCCAATTCCAGTCCTGCCTCCCCAAAACCATGTGTTCCAAGATTATAGGCAAAGCTGGTAGCACAAGCTGAGTTTCAGACCACCAGACCCATCCTGTCACAAGCACATGTCAGAGCTTGCCCAACTTGAAACACTGGAAAGAAATTTTGGGGAAGTTCCAGTTGATACAGCTCAGCAATTCCAAGAAAAAGATTAGAGAACATATTTTCACTTGTGTTCAAGATAATCTTGTAACTGTTTTGAGAAGCTGTGGCACCGCACCCCTGTGCTTCAAAGGAGAGATCTAGAATCAGAAAGGGAACATCATTCCTTGAACTGGGATTACATTTTTGCTACTCCCATCAAATCTATCCAAACTTGATCTCAAAAGGTCCTTTTATAGTGCATGGACATATCAAGGCTAATTTGAGACTACCAAGAAACTGTAATTTGGTCATTTTTCAGTTTCGAGGAGCTTGATTTTATAACATTGTCAGTTTAAGCACTGTGTCCTTAAAAATCTTATTTGTGCAGTGACTGTGCTGAGTCTGCAAAGGTGAAGATCCAAGAGGAGCCAAGACCCAATTTGCTTTCAACAAAGCCCAGAGCAATCACAGGACTGGAAAAACTCAGTCTGCTTTCCCTTCAATCAAGGGCAAGAAGAACAGGTCCTGAAAACCCTGTAAATTGATTGGAGCTGTTGTGGTCCCAAGGGAGAGAAATTAAAGCAGTAACAGAGGGGCTGAGCTCACCAGAGTCCGTGTCCAGATGCGTCCCATCCACATTCTCCTGCACAGAGCTTCCCTTAGGCTCTCTGCCTCCCTCGCCTTCAGGAGCTTTGCTAGGGATTGCTTCCAGCAGCTTCTCCTGCTTCTGGATGAAGGATTCCATAGCAGCCAGTGACAGGGTGCCAGAGACCTACAAAAGCCATGCTGTATTAGTACCACACAGGCCTGGATCCCACTGATCAGACAACCACCCATCTCCTTGTCTGCACTTGGTGTAGCCAACAACACATCCAGGCTTGCTTACTGTCCACCTGGCACATGGGAATAAGGCTGCAGCAACCACAACCCTCGTGCACGTGGATTATTCTAAGCCAGCATCCAACCAGGGCAATGATTGGGATCGTGAAAGGATTCCAGGAGGGATATGAACTTACAGCGCTGCCCTCCCTGATGGAGTACACTATCCTGTCATGAGCTTCACTCACACTCAGCACTGGAGTGATTTTACTAGATGAGAACCTCAGCCTGGACCTGAAAAGCAGAGACATGGTACAGTCAGTTTTCTCTGCAAGTTGTGAGTGATGAGTTTTCCAGCCTCCACCAAGACCGAGGACCAGCCTCAGCCAAGACCCAGGACCAGTTATCTTTGCCCAGTGCCACATCCAAGCTAGAAAGCCTGATTAGACCTAAAGTGGTTCAAAACCAGCACCTGTGCCCAGGATAATTAAGAGGTAGCAGTAAAACCAGGTAAAAAAAGCATTACAGCATTTTTCCTGACCTACACCTGAGCCAAGGCTTTCCAACATTCCACACACAGACAGGTGTGTTACACGGAAGCCGACAGGCAGATGTAGGCAGATGTCAGTAAGGTGTGAACATTCCAGCATACTGAGGGAAGTGTTCAGAAAAGCCTCTGAGATGAAACATACTCAGCAGGATTGTGAAATCCAATCATAAAGACACACAGAAAGGAGAGTATGAAAGGATGCTCAGGATTATGGGACAAATCATAAAATAATGTGTCTATCATTAAGGAATGTCCTTTTCAGCCAAGATGGTTCCAAACTTGTACTTTTTTGGTTTGCCTTTTTGTTCAAAGCAGTTTTTTCCAGCAAAACATCACTTATTTAGGAAGAAAAAGCACTATTTGTGCAAAAACCTTCCCTTCTTCAGTGAGAGAAGATCACTAATGAGCACAATGAGGTTTGGCACTGCCAGCAGCACCAATAAACACTTGGCGAGCAACACACATGCAATGACATTCAATATTACTCCTAAATAAACATTCAAATGTGTTTTTTGCAAGGCCACTGTGTGGAACACATAGGAGAGGCAGGAGGGAACCTTCAGGTAGATAATTTATAGCTGCATTTTCCAGTTACTCATGACATATATGCGTCATGCACATGTTTAAGATTTAAAAGGAATTCCCCGGGAGCAACAGCGTCTCTGCTGGCAAATGGCAGCACATGACAGATCCCCTGGGAAGAAAACCACCTTCTGTGGAAACCTGAGCATTCCTGGGAAATCCTTTGGATAACAGCAAGGGAAGAAGAAAGTAATTTGGTTAAAGTACAGCAACACATAAAGCACCAGGTCAGTTCTTCCCCACAGTGGGCTTAGTTTATGCATTAATTCCTTATTCTGCAAAGCTGGAGAAGCCCTTACTTGGTCGCCTTCTTCCCATCTGTCTGGGACTTTCCATCCACTTCAGACTCACTCAGATCCTCCGTGGGGCTCTGGGGCTCTGACCTGGGGAATGCCGTCTTCAGAGTGTCCACAATAGCATTGACAACGATCTGCAAGGCCAGCAGTGCCATTAATTACTGAATAGATCCTTACTCCTTAAAGATATTAAGAGTTTTCAAATTTGCACTGTATTTTCTATTAAACCCCAGGTTCTTTGAGATGGGGTCTGACCCTTCCCAGCTTTATGGCTTTCTGAGCAAGCTGAGCCCAGCTACAGAACATTGGAGTTTTTTGGCTCCTCATAGACGCTGAAGCCTAAGAGAGATGTCCAGGTGGAAGGGGCTCAGGTAACCAGTCTCCTGCTTTCCTACCTTGTCTATCCTGGAGACAACAAAGGGCTTCTTGACAAATGCGATCCTGGCGTCTGTGTTGAGGGCAAGAAATTCCTGCACCTCCTCGCTGTTGGCAATTTCAGGGACTGCACACAATTGCTGCAAGGAGAGATGGAAATTTAGGGCTTTCTGGAGTCAACTCCCAGCTTGATCATGTAACGTAGAAGAGATCTGATGTCACATCTGCTTTTAGCTCACAGGGGCACACAAATATCTCACCTTTAAGAAGGATTCCAGCAGACTTTTCCTGGCTTCCACTTTATCACTGTCCATGTTTCCAAAGGGGAGATCAGGGAACAGTTTCTTTGGGCCTTTGATGTCTACAAAGGAAATAAAGCCATGAGCAAGTTCGAGAAAACTGGAAAAAAATTAATCTTAATTTAAAAGATTTTAAAATCCAAGATTAAAAATTAAGATTTTAAAATCTAAGTACAGATTTTAGTCTGTATTAAAACCTTAATGCTCTCATAGTTGAGACTATTACCACACACTGCCCAAGGCAAGACACCCCTCAAACCAGGGCTGTTGAATCAGACCTTCAATCCATACGGAATCTGTGTTCTGCTGGATTTCACATCTTCCGTGCCTTCAAGTTAAAAGCAGCCAGAACACCAGTCTAGCACAAGGACTCTAAATTGCTCCAAGAGCCCAAATATTCTCAACAAAGCAGTTTTGTAGTCAATCTGTCAGAACCAAGGAATTATGTTGGAACATGCTAAACTCCATGGAGCTTTATATAGAAGTAGCATTAGAAGAAATACTGTTTTCTTCCTAAAAAAAGCTCATGTTTGACACATATTTCTATTTTCTTCTATGCAAACAAGATTCTTTCAGACACCAGTGTTTCCACTGTTAAGGTGCAAAGCTACAAAACTGGGTGTTGTGATCAAAAAAAAAAGAATATTTTAAAACACTGGAATTTGCTGCCAAAAGAGATAAACCCTCCAGCCAGCTCTGCACAAAACAACAGAGATGTGGGCACAGGCAGGGCAGAAAACCCTCAGAGCTGAGGAGCATGGAATGGGATGAGAGGGAGAGGATTTACTCCAAGAGTTAATGCAGGCACTGACTTTTGAGGAACTTGCGGAGCTCCGGTTTCTCCTCCAGCCGGGTCTGCAGGTTGAGGAACTCCCGGTAGCGGCGGTTCACGGTGTGATAAGCCACCTGCTGTAGGCTCCCTGTACCCTCACCCTCCAAGACTGTCTCATACTGAGGGGGAAGGCAACAGGAACAATTCCTTACACATTATGAAAACAATCCCAATGCGCTGCTGGCCCCACAATTCCCAGAACCCTTCCATCCTCGCATTAACCCTTCCCTGAAGATGAAGGAACCCATCCCAATGGAACAACTGGCAAAAACAGAACACAAAAGACTCTACCAGCCTCATGTGACCCTTGGTTAAAAGTAGGAACTCCTATCCCACACCCTGTGCCTGATATTCCCTCACTGCCAGACAAAATTTGTTGTGGAGACACTCACAGAGCAAATCCTCACCTCTAAACACCAACCAGTGCTCCAGTCAGGGTAGGGATTTGGGAAAAGAGGTGAGTGCCAGGGGAGCCCTTACCTTGACAGTGTACAGGGTATATGGGTGGAAGCCAGTCCCACTGTGCTCCCGGGCAGTGATGGTCCCAGTTATCCGCAGGTTCTGGATCACGACCGGACCGTCAGGGCTGCTCAGGGGCTCAAAGCTGAAGGTGCTCATGGAAGCTGTTGGGGAGGATGAGAGCAGGGGCAGGGACTGCCCGGCCTCTGGGGGGATATGTGGTAGGCCCTCTGCTGCCCCCAGATCTCTCCCCAGGACAGAGGGTTTCTGCGAGGAGAACTTCCTGGGGACTGCTGGGTTTTCCTCCTCCTTCTCCACCACCGGCTCAATCTGGATGTCAGGGCAGGAGCTCAAGGCAGAGGTGGAAAGCAGCCCAACATCTGAGCTGGGGGCAGGGCCCTCCTCCAGGTCTCCCGTTCCATCTTCCAAAGAGGCCAGGCCCTCCGCCACAGAGGGGTCCTGGGGGGGCTCATCAAGGAGCTCCCCAGTGGGGGATGGTGCCAGCAGGTCCGTGTCCTGGCCCACACTGGGCGTGGAGGATTCCAGCTCCAAACCCTCGCAGGGGAAGAGGGATCCCAGGGCTTGAGGGCGCAGGAAAGGCTCCTCTGTGTGGCACGACCTCCCTGTCTCCTCTCCCTCCTCGCCAGCAGTCCCTGCCTCTCTCCTGAGCCCCTCCACAGTCCTCGGGGAGGGAGGTAGCCCGGCAGGAGCCATATCCATCTGTGCTGGGAAGGGCAAGGAATCTGGCACTGGGGGTGCAGTGTGGGGTTTCCCACCGCGGGGCTTCTTGGAGAACATCCCAATGAGCAGCAGATTGATCCAGTCGGGATCAGACATCTTCCTGACGGCCGGCAGCAGCACATTGCAGGCCACCAGCTCCACCACCACGAAGCGTCCCGTCCGCGTTTCCAGGTGTGGCCATGGCACCAACGCCTGCAGCAGCGTCTCCACGGCCGCGCGGGCACATCCCACCTCGGCCGCGGGGCTGAGCAGGGCAGGATGCGGCCCTGCCAGCCGGCTGTACTCCCGCCACAGCGTCCCACCGCCTTTGGGGTCGTCCCTCAGGGCGTCCCGTGCCCGCAGGAAGCTCTGGAGATGTTGCCCGCAGAGCAGAAGCAGGCGGCGGGCCAGGGCTCGGCGGTCCACCTGCGCCATGCGCCGCCGCAGCTCTGCAGCCAGGCCCACCATGGCCCTCTCCACCTCGGCCTCGAAGGCCGGCTCCCTGCTCACCGTGCGGTACCACGAGGCCACGAAATCCCGCACCACCTTACGGATGGTGCTGGCGATCTCCCGCTCCAGCCGCGCCTCGTCCGCGGGGCAGCCGGGCGGGGCCCGCAGGGAGCTCACGAAGCGCTCCAGGCGCAGCCGGCGGCCGCGGGGAACCAGGGCCGGGGGGCCCAGCCAGCCCCCCAGCACCGCCAAGGCCCCGCACAGCAGCCCCAGCGCCCGCAGGTCCAGCAGCAGCTGCAGGGCCAGCAGCCAGCCCAGCGCGAGCACCAGGGCCAGCAGCGGCCGGCGGGACCCCGAGTGGCCCTGGCCCGGCATGGTGGGCTGCTAAGCGCCAAACACCCGGGCTGGTCAACGAGAGATAGGGCTTGGCACAGCCCGTACCGACTCTCGTCAGGGACCCCCCCAGCCCGGGCTCCTTGAGGGGGTACTGGGGCTCAACTGAGCAGGACGCTCAGCAGGCACTGGAGTTCGTCAGGGAGCCCCAGCCCGGGCTCTTCACTGGGGCTCATGGAACACAACAGTCCAGGTTCCCTGACTGGGTACCAGGGCTCAGCCACCCGGGACCCTCACTGGGGCTTGTCATGGACCCCCAGACCCGTCCCTTCACCGGACCCCGGAGCTCCTCAGGCCCCCACCGCCCAGGCCCCTTCAGCCGGTACCGACAACATAAAACCCCGCAGCCCCGGCGCTGCCGAGCCGACACCGCCACATCGAGACCCCCGGCCCCGACTCACCGCCCCAGGCCCACAGGCGGCACCGCCCGCTACTTCCGCTTCCGTCCCGGCGCTCCCCACAGCGCCCCCTGGCGGCGCGGAGGACTCACGGGAGTCGTTGAGATTTAAAAATGAAAAATTGAAAAAAAATAATTTTTAAGACTTCGCAGCAGCGCGAAATAAGTTTCTACCTCCACATGTTATATTTTAGATGCGTTATGAAAAGTGTAAAAACGCAATCAATTCATCTTTTATTTATCCTTATTGTTATTATTCATATGGATGAGAAATAAAATTTAAAAATTAAATTTATTTAATTCATTAAAATTTATTATGAATGTGTTAAAACTAAAATAAAGGAAACCCGAAAACTATTATCAACCTCATAAAAAAAACTATTATTCAGCTAAAACTTATTAAAACTAAATAAAGGAAAATAATGTCTTTTTCTACTATTGCTGGAAGAGTTTTGGGAAGGTGTTACTGCAAATTTTGATTGTTCTTAATGATGATGTTTGTGTTTGGTGCTGAGAAACTCCTTGGCTACAACTTAAACAAACCTGTCAGGGATTTTCTGCTTCTTCTCTGTGTGTGGTTGTAGCTCTTGGGTTTGTATTTAGAGCAAAAAATAAACTACAAACGGGAGGGATAAGTTGCTCCGGCCCATGGGACTGGGGATTGGATGGGATCTGGGAGCTACAGGTAACTGGGATGGGGAGCAGGATGTGAAATTGCTCATTTGTAGTAGAGAATTTTGCAATGCTATAATAATTGCCCCAAATATGTAATTTTTGAGAGTGTCTTTTAGCTGTATGTGATAAACTGAGAGAATGATTCGAGCTAATTAAGAGAAAACAGTGTAAGGTCAATATGACCTGGAGAGAGAAAAGAAAAACAAATTGTAAAACTTAATTGGGCCCCTATGAAAAGAAAAAAGACAAGTTACCTCCCTTTTACCCTGTGTAGGATTTATAGTGAGAGAATTTTGTTTAGTTAGCTAGATAATAGCACCTTTCTTAAAATTTATAACTTTGCATAGATAACAAGCAAACATCTGTTGAATGTATGACCTAACAATGTGTAATGTTTATACTTATGTATCTAACATGTTTATACTCATGTGCCTAACAATGTGTAATGTTTATACTTATGTATAATGAATATTCATGTAGTAGCTGGAAATAAATGTGGAACAACTGTCTTCTTTGGGTGTGACAGGTGTTGGGAGTTGTTGGACCCCTCCCTGATCACCCAGCGCTGAATTTGCTTTTATCATATAATAAATTCTGATTGGAAATTGCCCGATTGGGTTTCTATTTGTCACACTGTATGTGAGTGGTACAGAAGGATAAGGTAGCAAAGAAAACTTTGTTTAATAAAAACCTTATTTTTGAATCAAAACCTTTGCATTTGAATCAAAGGTTTCCTGGTCTTTTTTTCCCAAAGGGTGGTGTTTTTAGGCTTTCAAAGGGGTTCTTTGCACCCTGAATCCTCTGGGAAGCAGAGCTGTGATGCTGGTGTGGTACATCCCTGAAATTCCTGCACATCCAAGGGTGGGTTTGGGTGCTGGAGCTGCTTATGTGCAGGTTGTGCTGTGCCCCTCATGGTCTGGGTGCTGCTGCCCCTATTTTAGTGTATTAGGGTGTAAATACTTATGTTAGACAAGCCCCAGTACCTGGTATCATGTGCCAGGTGGGTATGAATAAACGCTGAAGCAGGTTTGGGGTTTTTTTGGAAGCAAAATGTATCTTATCAACTGTTTCTGCCTCCAAGGTTTGCTCCAAAATATACATGGAGAAGGGAGAGCTTGAATTTTTGGGGTTACAAAGCTGGGCAGCAGAGCCTGGTTTATCCTGCTCCAGGATTAAGCCTCCAAGAGATTTAAAACCTTCTTTTCTGCTAGATCTCACTGTGCTGATCACGCTGTAGTTAAAACATTGTGCCTCAGTTTCCCTTCACCTCCAGCCTTTTCCAGATGTTTCCCTTCACTCTTTGAGAGACATTTTGGACTTGCTATGAGTTTTTGATTGGCTGAGCAGCCTTACCTGTATAACAGGGTACCAGAGCTGGAGAATGCTGACCTGCCAGAGTAATGCCAAGACTTTTTAATCATGATGCCAGAGGTGACAAACATCCCTGTCCCTCCAGTGGCTTTTATATTGAAGGTGGGAGGGGGCAGAGGGGTCCTTGCGCAGGTAGTAACGCTTCTGTGCTGCATAACTGCAGAAAAAGGGACCCACTGGCAGCTGTTGCCCCTGAGCTTAGCTGAGAAGTGAGGACAATTAAGAGTTGAATTTATAATAGGTATAAATCAGGAATCTGAAAGCTTGTTCTTCATGGAGAAATGCATAACGGCACAAGAAGCAAGCAGCCTCCCTGATATTGGGAGCCCTTTGCCCCAGTGAAGAAAGCCCATAGCCTGGGTGTCTCAGGTGCAGTTGGTGGGCCTCCCATGGCACTCCACGGGCAGCAAGACCTTTCTGTCCTGGCCCCTTTTACCTGGGAGGAATCTTAATCCATATTCAATTTTGGGAGGTAGACTAGCAATTTGGGCAAGAACCACTAATTAACACCTAATTAAGCATAACAATCATTCACATATCTGAATCAGCTAATCAATACCTAATTACACACAGTAATGAATCACATATGCAAACTAGGCACCTAAGGTAAGGGAGGCAGCAGGCAATGCAAGGCAAGGGAGGGATCAGTAAGGGAAGAAAAAAAAAAGGGGTAGGCAAGTTGAGGCAGAGAATGGCTATGAAAGGCAAGGCAAGGAAGGGAGAGGTGGGCAGAGAGAGGCAAGGTAAGGTGAGGCAAGGCAGTGAAGAGGAAGGCCATTCCCTTAAGAGTTGGACTTGACAGTCCTTGTTAGTCCCTTCCAGCTCAGACTATTCTGTGAAATGTGTGAAGGCGAGAGGTATGCAAGACGAGGAGAGGAAGGGGTGGGCAAGACAAGGCAAGTCAAAGGAGGGGAAGACAAGGCAAGACCAGACCAAGCAAGCAAGGGGTAGGCAAGACAGCAAGGCAGGGGATGGGTGTGCAAGGCAATTCAAGGCAAGGAAAGGGAGCAGAAGGTAAGGCAAGTCATGAGAGGGGCAAGTAAGGCAAGGCAACACAGGAGCAGGTAATGCAAGGCTTGCAAAACAAGGTCGGTAGAGGTGGTCAAAGAAAGGCAAAGTAAGGTAGGGGAGAGGAATGCAGGGTAAGGCAAGGTATGGGTAGGCCAAGCAAGGAGAGGTAGTGGAGTGTCCCAGCTGGCCCACCAACTGCACCACAAAGCCAAAGCTTCCAGACTTTCTTTCCTGGGGATAAGGGCTGTTGTTTGCTTTTTCCAGCCCTGCACTGAAACTGCCATTCCTCCCAGACAAAATTCCAGAGGGACCAAGATTTTTCCCAGACAAAAGATGCCAGTACAGAAAGGTCTTGCTGCCCATGGAGTGCCCAGGCTGGCCCACCAACTGCACCACAAAGCCAAAGCTTCCAGGCTTTCTTTCCTGGGAATAAGGGCTGTTGTTTGCTTTTCTCAGCCCTGCGCTCAAACTGCCAGCCTGACTCCCAAAATTGCATACTGACGAAGATTCCTCCCACACCAAAGGTGCCACACCAGAAAGCTCTTGCTGCCCCTGGAATGCCCAGGCTGGCTTACCAACTGCACCAGAAAGCCAAAGCTTCCAGGCTTTCTTTCCTGGGGCTTGACAAGTTGTCAAAGTACTACTTAATGAAATTATCCCCAAGTTCAAAGTACCTGACATCATCTCCTCGGACCGAGGACCACATTTTATAACTAAAGAATAAGTAGCATTCTGCAAATTGATTGGCAATTACATACTACATATCGACCACAGGCAAGTGGTCAAGTCCAGTCCCCTCTCATACAGTCAGGTTCTTCTAACACAACCCTTCTTGAGGTGTATGTGCGGAGATTCCTCCCTTGGCTGGGGATGCCCCCCAAGGTCACTCCTCGAGGTTGAGAGAAAGAGATCTCCCCATGAACATTGGTATGGATGAGTTACATGAGACCTCTACTTAATAATTATTTCTTTTCACTAGCTTTAATAAAACTGCTTCAATAATTTCTTTGTTACAGTGCGCAGTACTACTTTATGCTATATTATACTCTACTAGTAGATTTTTAGTGTTTATATTGTGTAGTAAGTAGTTTTGATTAAAATCTGTCTGGTTATTTGTGGGGGGAGCATGTCTAAGGTACAAGGGAATGTACCAGGGCGAGAGTGCCCGAGGGAGCATGCGCCGATATAGACAACCCTATTGGTCAAGGAAGTCACATGGCTTTAAGGGATAAAAGCAGTGCCGAATTTGAAATAAACCTCTTTGTTTTACCACCTCACGAAGAGCGTATATATTCTTTATTACATAAAGACACGTGCACCCTACACATTTGTATAAAATAAATTATTCTTTTTATATAAATATTCTCATTTTGCCAATAATTAAAACCTGCGGGACAAAAGTTGTTCAGTCATACCTCTATAATTCCTTAAGTTTAAACCATTATATAATCTGAGGCTATAATTGCATTTAGCTGCACCTAGACTCTCTGAGAAGGGGTTTAGAAAGCAAGGGAATCCTTTCTGTGCCTTGAAAATCACCAGCAAGGCTTTACTTTTTAATAACTTTGTCTAAGCTTTCCACTCCCACTGTTGACACCCCTCATGCCCCAGTCTATACAACACAGACAAGGCTGCCCCATCCCAGGTGCAGAATCTGGCCCTTGCCCTTGTTAAACTTCACACAGTTGGTGATTGCCCATCTCTCTAATTTGTTGAGGTTTCCCTGCAGAGCCTCTCTGCCCTTGCCAGAGTCGACAGCTCCTCCCAATTTAGTGTCATCGGCAAACTTAGTGTTCCTTTGAGTCCTGTGTCCAAGTCATTTATGAAGATGTTGAAGAGAACTAGGCTGAACATGGAGCCCTGTAGAGCCTCACTAGTGGCTCATCACCAGCCTGATGTCACCCCAGTGACTATAACAACTCCGCCAGTTGCTCACCCATCATGGTTATCCAGCTGTATGCTGGATGTTTTGTCTAGAAGGATAGTGTGTGAG